GACTGGATTTGACAGCGAAGAGACCATGTTACCTTCTTACTGGGAAACAAAGTTCTCCAGGATCTGTCTGGGTATGAAAAACGGCAAAGAAATCAACTTCATCACCATCAACGTGACAGCATCCTCCTTATACTCTCTAATCGCTGATGGGCAATACCGCCCAACCTCACTGGGCCAAGACAAATGGAAGTCGCTGCTTCGTTCAAACGCCTCAATGCAATATAACTGTAACCGAGAAGGATTTAACGCATTGTGTGCGGGGTCTGGTGCCAAACAACCCAGGGCGCGAATCGGTATCCTTGGTAACGAACAATATGACTGCAACAGCTGTGATTCCAGGATCGGTTTTGGTACTGGAGGCCATCCGGATTACTCGAACTCATGTGGAAACGTGGCAGTGGGTCGATGGGGAGCACATAATGGGGACAAAAACATCAAGACTATGGGCTACATTCTTGTTCAATAATGTAGTAGTTATAGCTCTTATTTGGTTCCAAAACAATTGCTCAGATATAAGTCCTCGGACAATATCGTTCCCGATAAGCTTACAGTTATTTCAATGGCAAAGCTGCCTTTAAAGTTTTAGACTAATCAGAAACATCAACGAAGTTCTTTAGCTGCTTGAAAATACCGCTGGCCAGCATGCGTGTTGATCGTTTTGCAAGTTGTGAGTCCATCGTCACCTGGTTCAGGACCCCGTCAATCTCCCCCCTCCCCCTCCCCCACCCGCACTCCCTTGAATGTGTAACCTCTTCGACAGGTAGTGTTAGGTGTTTTTAATAAAACGAAGGCTGAAAATTAACCAAATCGATCCCCGCTTTAAGGCTTGGCTAACTCTATGTATTAGCGATAGATACTGATTCATTGCTATTGGAACTAATTAGATTCTTAGTAATTAGAACTAAGTAATTCCAAGCTCTATTTCCTAGTTTGGTATTTGGTTAGTTTGTTTGTAAGAGATATATAAACCTGAGAGATTGCTATTAACAGTGCTTAGGCTTATGTTATGTTAAGCATAAAATAAATGACAAGGATGGTACCAGCAGGATCTGAGTGTTGTCTTTGTGTATCACTAGCTTAAGTAAACAAACTACAAGGGAACTCATTTCCCATTGATGTACTGATTTGCGTAACATTGACTGACATACCTAACTATTTTGCTACTTAAAGAGACCGAAAGAGATAATGATATGAATACTTATTGGAGCAGTCAAAGATAAAGAAGAAAAAGATGTCAATTTGGGGAAACTGCTTGATCCAACACTCACTTCTTATTGCCTGAATCATATAGAGGCTACAACACAGAGAATTCATATTTAATTCTTAGAAGGGAAAGGGTTGAAAAAAAATCGAGGAATGAAGCTTGCTTACCTGCTCCAGGAATCTCAGGTAGTAATCGAAGCAGAATGCATATGGTCAAAGAAATGAGGGAAATGAGAAAAAAAAAATAAAAAATTTAACGTTAGAAATGATGAAAAAAACAACAAAAACGCTCAAAGTTCAAGTCCGGTCGCGACCCTAACCCAAACCTCTCGGTTTTTCTCGAGCCTTTAGGATAGTCGCATGACGTCAACGGGTTTAACCCTATGGTCTTCGCTGTCAGTCAGATTTTCCTTGTGCTTGGTGAAGCTGGTGAAAAGAGCAAAGCGTGATGAATACTTAAATGTTGTTCCTTAACTGAGTGTGGAGAGTGTCAAGTTATTTAGCCAAAGATTAGCAAGATTTCAGCTGACTCAGAGATATAAATTATGGCAAATATCAGACAGTGAAATTTTTGTCCGTATTCGTATACAACAACTGCACAAGCAATGAGGCGAACTCGCCCAAAGTACAAAAGGTATAAATTTGTAAACTCGTAGATAGAAACACGGACTGGCTAAATAAGATATTCGATCGATGAGTGTTTAGTATCCAAGGACGGATTTTTTTTACCAGGGTATGTTAAAGTGCCTATGACACCAACGGTATTTTAACTTAAATAAAAACTAGAAGTCTTAAAAAGCAATAAGAAAATATTTCATCCACAAATAATAAAAATTGAAGAGTTTATAGCTCTCTGAGTTTGACAATTTTCTTTGTAAAAAGTGGTATCGAATCGCGTGGCCAAAACAGGCCTCATGATGTCATCTTGTGTACCACAGCATGCTGGAATTCAAAGCATCATGGCGGAAAACACAACACAGAGTAAGTGAACGAAGGTAAAAGGAGGAAGACATTGTGAGTTGTTTTCTCTGGTCGTAACTATGCTGCAACGAGTGGTTTCAAAACTCCTGGGTACACAAGATGACGTCATACCGACAAAGAAACTCGATCCCAGTCTCCGACCACTATTTGATCGAAAAAAGGCCAACTTTGAGCTAATATTTTAGGGGTAAAAATATTTTAGACAGACTTTGTTTTCAGTAGATGTATAATAGAGATACTACATTTTTATTTGGAGTGAAAATCGTGTTGATGTCATAGGCACTTTAAGAGACACCAAAGAGAATAATATATACCAGCCGAAACACCTAAATATGTTTAGATATCAATATATTTGGGATTGCAGAATATCTCATAGACAGCAATAGAATAGAATTGGGCTGCGTACCATAAACATCAATCACCCGAGAAGACATTCCTAAGGGGGTGCAAGACAAACGTATCTGACTTGGTAAGGGCTTGATCAATTAACCAATGAGAAACAGCTCTCTAATACTCTGTAGTGCTTACAGAACTGAGGGGACCTAATTAGGATTTTTCAAGGGAGAGGGGGGGGCGGGATGGTAGCTAGGAATTTCTGTGCTCCTTACGTGAGGTGAAACGAGTATAATCGTGGTAAGAGGGTCCGTTATTTTCTCTGATAAAATTTGTTTTGTATCTTTGTCTTAATGTTAGCTTGAAAACCTCAACTCTAATTTGAAAGATGTGAAGGCTGCAGTAGATGGAACAAAGAACGACTTTGCCGATTTCAGTGTTACTGTAGCAACTGAGATAAAGATCTCACTGTTATCTTAACAATGAATATTGTATTACTTTAATAAAGACCTCACCCTAGACATTACCCTCTTGGCTCATTAAAGGACTCTGGGCTTCTCACATTGATCAACCTCGTTCCCAGGGGCTTTTCCCGCCTCACCCCCAACTCCACCCCCAACAAAAGGAAAAAGTCCTGGGAACGAGGTTGCACATTGATCTCATAATTCATCAGACTGGTCCTGACTAACCTTGGCAATTTATCAAATGTATTTTTCAAATCTTAACTCAATCTGCGAATTGCGAAAATCTAAAAGAAAAAAAAANAATAAAGCAAACCTCAAAATTCCATCCGTTAAAAGAAACTGGGGCAAACAAAGAACTGGCTATCATGCTGTAAGTGATTTTAACTCGCTGGACAAAACTATACGAGCCGCTGATAATGTAAATATTTTGAAGCGTAAGATTTTTAATTCATTGATTTAAGTTTTGTATTACACATAAGATACATTAGCTTTTAGTAGCATCTTTTAGCATTTTTATTCATTGTAAATTTTTAATTTTTAATTTTCGAGGTCCTTTTTGTAAACCACTTTTTAGTGAAAAAGTTTCCTCATTAAAGATTGTCATCATCATCATCATCTCACTGTTATCTTAACAATGAATATTGTATTACTTTAATAAAGACCTCACCCTAGACATTACCCTCTTGGCTCATTAAAGGACTCTGGGCTTCTCACATTGATCAACCTCGTTCCCAGGGCCTTTTCCCGCCTCATCCCCAACTCCACCCCCAACAAAAGGAAAAAGTCCTGGGAACGAGGTTGCACATTGATCTCATAATTCATCAGACTGGTCCTGACTAACCTTGGCAATTTATCAAATGTATTTTTCAAATCTTAACTCAATCTGCGAATTGCGAAAATCTAAAAGAAAAAAAAAGAAATTTTCGCAGGAGTGCGTCAGCATATGTGAGGTGAAATAATAAAAAAAAATGCGTTTGATGACTCTTCTTGCACTGTGTCCAATTTAATCGTGAGAGTGAACCCGACCTAGGCTCGATCACCAGCTGCTGTTCGGGAACTGGAACCCGCGCTCCTTTCTGAACCCCGTTCTTCTCGCGGAGGAACGAGAAAGATCGGACCCGAAAGAGCGGCGAAAGTCAAACTTAAACCCGACCTTAACCCTTCAAAACAAGATTCGCAGCAAACGTCCGTTATTTTCTCTGATGAAATTGGTTCTGTATTTTAATGAAAGCTTGAAAATATCAACTCTGATTTGAAAGATGTGAAGGCTCCAGTGGATGGAACAAAGAACGACCTCACCAAATTGAGTAGGACTCTAACAAAGGTAAACATTTCATTGTTTCTTGATTAATAAATTGTAGAAATTTGTTTTGATGATGATAATTTTTCTGTGTTCAAGGGTCAGAGATATTAAGTTAATAATTTCTTTTTGTATTTTTATCTTTATGTTAGGTTGAAAACCTCAACTCTGATTTGATCGATGTGAAGGCTGCAGTAAATGAAAAAAAAAACCACCTTCCGAGCTGAACAGTACTTTCGTAACGGTAAAGATCTCATGTATCTCAAATACAATGTATACTGTACGTACTTTAGTAAAGACTGCGCTCCAGACTTTTCTCCATGTTCAAGATATTAGCCTCTTGGCTCATTAAAAGACTCATCGCGTCTTTAAATCACTAGAATAGTCATTCCTGTCTAAACTCAGAAATTTTAACCGGTTTATTTTTATCTATTTTTTATTAGCAATATTTATTCAGGCTGGCCCAGTTCGTCATTCGTCCCTGACCTTGATGAACCACTAGTTCATCCAGAGGTAAGATACATACTCACTAATCTTGTCTTTTCCTGCTAAGGAGAGCGGCGAAAAGCAATTGGCAATTAAGGGCTGATGGGCCTCTAACACTTTTTATTCTCATCTTCAAAGTCAGTCAAGTTTCATCATCTTGAAACGTATGATTGCGCGTAGGGCGAGTTTCGAAGATACTTAGTGTATTATCATGGTGTAAATTTGATCGATTCAATAATACCTGCATGGACGATTTTCTGTTAACAGGAACGAGATAAGCCGTCCGCTCATATTGCGTCCCTCCACATACATAAGAAGATCTGTCAAGCACACACGCGTATTTTTTGTCTTATAAAGAGAGTTGGTAAGTATTATAGCACCTGAACATCTAGAAGGAAGTTTAAAATATCCGTTTTACTTCTTGAAATGTTGTGGATTATCCTCCCTACAGTAAAAAGGCAAATTTTTCCCAAATACTGAATGGATCTCCGCCGGCTGTTTGCGCTGAACGGAAAAAGACTTTACGCCCCTGAAATTGAAACAGTTCGTCGCTGAAGACACAGTAAGAGCAGACAAAGCAGACATTCATACAATTTCAGCTTTGGAACTAGTGTTTTAAAAGTGCAAGATAGTTTGGAATTGTCAAGAAAAAAGAAATTGAAAAAAATCTAACCAATTTCTTTTGAGCATCCACATCCG